GTGTGTCAAGTCGAAAGCGACTGGAAAAAGAAATTAATATCAGGTTAACATAACTTTGAGTGAAAGATGAATTAAATCTTTTTTCTCTCAGTTAGAAGCATAGTAATGGCTTAGAAGCATAGTAATGGCCATGAGAATCGGTACTCCGTGCAAAAGAGGTAATGTTAGACAGGTCTAATGTTGTTTACTGGTACTGTACCAGGCTCAACGGGCTTTATTTTCTAGTTGCAAGGAGAACTATTATGTGTACGGGATGCCCAGATTGAGACCAATGTGTCACCAAAGCAGCAGCTGCAAACAGGACGTATCACCGAAATGAGGCGTAAATCTGAGCCAAGTTTATTCAGCATCGCAAAAACAAAAGTATAAATGTCATCAATGTCTCGATAAAATTGAAAGTGTAAAGCTTGAACATTGTTTAGGCAAAACGATAAGAGGATGACACGGGTTGCTGGTCATGCTGTCGTGGACCAGTTGAACAAGTGCGTCCGATTTCTAAGGCCTGTAAAGCAGGAGTAGGGTCATGTGGATAAGAGGGTAGTTTGAGGGTGTCCGTGGTATGCACTTGTTTTCTTTTCCTCTGTTGTTCTTAGCTATTCTATTTTTTTCTGTCTTGCTTGTTCGCTGCTTTAAATGGCTGTTACTGTGTCATTGTGCTTTTCTTATTTCAACCTTAACGGAACTGAGTGATAATACATGGGCTGGAACCACTTTACAGACACTGACTGCGGAGTACACATACTGACTGGAGTAAGAAAATATTTTTAGAAAACTATTTTAGACTACTCATTATAAATACGATCGATGAGGTATGGGAAAACTTCTGAGCCACTTTGAAATGTTGTCCGTCTTGAAAATCAAAATGAACAGTTTCCGGCCATATGGTGCCAATAGATCTAATATTCCATCTTATGCCATCTATTTTATGAAATGCATGTGAGTAACTTATGCTGTTGTGTCAGTCGTAGTCTCACTTTTGAGGGCTTTGCTATCTTAACCCATGTCATCTAATATTTTCTCCTGGTGTGACCGGTGAGATATTCGGAACCACTGGAGTCCATGACTTGGCACGCTTGCCATGCCTGGTCTTGGCACTGTCCCAGGCTCTAAAGGTTATGGTTAAGTGAAACATGATATGACACAAGACTATCTCCCCAACGGGATGTTGTCTGTCTCAAGTTTCTCTTCCATAGAAAAAACCCGGTTCGTGAACCCAGTGGTAAAAAAGTAAATGTTACTTTCCTGCAGAAAAAAGTTAAACGAATATATCCTTGTTTTAAGTCCACCCCGCAATCTTTTCGTTCAACCTACGCTATAGAACAAAATAGGCCTCTGATGCCACTAACATTTCGAAAGATAACATTGGAATAACATTTATATGAAACCTTGAACTCACTAGTGGACTTTGATAAGAGAGTTATTAATGCACTTTTTTGTTGCTCTCTATCTAAGTGGTTCAGAATTTTCCATACAGCTTAAGAAACAAAAGAGCCCTTACCTTTAAGCTTTTCTGGTAACTTTACTTATCAGTGTGAGAAAAGTAATTGCTGTTCCGTTATTGAAAATGCGAAATAGTTCTTGTTTGCCTCTCTCTCTCTCTCTCTCTCTCTCTCTCTCTCTCTCTCTCTCTCTCTCTCTCTCTCTCTCTCTCTCTCTCTCTCCCCCCCTCTCTCTCTTTTATTCGTATCTTAAGGATTCGTTCAGGTTTTCACACGAAGAGCAAAGCAAAGATAAAAAAGATTCTGTCTATACTCTCGGGTTCCCCTCGATCACTCTCAACCGAACCATCTGTTGGGATCAACAAAGGAGAACATAATATCTTACAAATTTGTACATTTAAAATATTTCTCTCCGAAGTCCGGACATTCTGTATGCATGTGTCATATGGTAAAATCTGTGTCGCATCTGACACACAACGGTATCGCATCTCCCTACAAGAGGTACTTATGTGTCTTGGAGGTACGTCCGATACCCTCAATCGAGTAAAAATGACTTAGTCTCTTCTAGAGAGTCCCGAAGGCTTTTGTAGGCCCAGTTTGGGCATGATACTGTGGAGTTTGCTGTTTTGCAGCTCATTCCAGTGTTTCTCCCACAGACTATTACTGAGACTGAGAACGATCAGGACCAAACAAGACTTGTGACAATCTCAGGCGAAACAATGTGCCAGGCTGACACATAAGGTATATCATGACCTGGTGTCTTGACTTAAACACAAGTAATTGAAGCTCTGGGTTATAGTGAATAAAATGAAACTGAATAGTTTTTGTTTGAGTTGAAAATAAATGGAAAATAAATGGAACACAGTGGAATGCACCAGTGACACAAAGTTGAATGAAATAGTGTTTACGGGATGTAATGAGTATCCATTATTCGCACCCAGATTGAAAATTTGCTTAACATAATAAACATGTTTGCTAATGGTTGCCTAGGCTGACATTTTTACTTCAGCAAAGTTCGGAGAGATTTCCTGCTCCTCCTGATTTACTTCAAGGAAAAAATATCTTGAAAAAGAACTAAAACAAAACAAACGAACAAAGACACCCCTGAGGAAACAAGCAATAAACAAACAATTTTGTTTTAAAGACAATCAATCGGAAAGACAAACAAACACCTCCCCCGCCCTATTGGCAGAAACACCACACGATGAACCTATATTGTATTTTTAGAAACACCATTGTTCACTTCCTTTACCTGAGAGCTGTAGCGAGAGCTTGATAGAGTCGCCCACGTAGCCCATTTCAACGAGCACCCTTGACGCCCCCTCCACACTGCAGAGGAGCAATAACGTTAACGCCACGATTCGTAGCATGGTTGTACCGATCTGTGGGAGTCAAAAATATTCAAAATGAGGTTAACTATATAAATTAAACCTAACCCATTAACAGTAATAAACAAACAAAAACCCCGAGTAAAATAAATTAGAAATCAGTTGTGCTGTAACTTCATCCCATTTGGCATACAAAGCCAGTGAGTAGTGCGAGACCTTTGGGGTGAGGAGTAGATTCTTTTTAATTTGAATGTTGAGTCATTTCATATTTTTTCATATTCAATTTTCCAAGTTTTTTCTTTTATTATTTGAACAGGAAAAAAGATTTCACAATGGTAATAAATGGGACAACTAGGTCAATTTCTTTTTTTTCTTTTCTCTGGTATTTCAGGGTAAACTCTGAGAACCCCCTCTCCAAAACTACCCCCCCCCCCCCCCAAAAAAAAAAAAAAAAAAAAAAAACGAATAATAAATAAGCACCGCTCCCCCCACCCCCCCCCCTCTTTTCCGCTCTCATAGACAACAAACAAGCACATAAAAAACAACCCATAGAAACAACAAACAATGCACTATCCCATTCCTGGCCGCCCCTCCCCCCCCTGGATAATAAGTCAACGTTTTTTTTACTTTAAAATTTTTTTTATTTTGCCGATAGCAAAATGGAATACCAAGAGTAGTCTGTTGTGTAGCGGCTAGACACTTCACTATCGCACGCAAGAGACCCGAGTTTGATTCTCGAGTGGGGATACATTTTTATCAAGTGTCTCGGTCTCTCTGCTGGAACGTTGTATCCCTCTCAGCCCGGGTTGGTCCTGACAAGCCCAGATGCCCGCCTCACCACCTCCAAAATGGTCCCTTTTAAGCTCAAGGGGGCTATCCCGAAAAATGTTTTGAGAAAATTGAAGGTAAAGTTTTTACCCCTTGTTCAGTTTCTTCAAGAGACAAGGAGGGTTTTCTCTACAACCAAACCAAAGTTCTCCTATAGGTAGGGCAATACCCATTTTTGGTGTATATCAAGATTTCTGGAAACCCCAAAATCTGGGTTAGCCCGCTTGTCTTTTAAAGCGACCATATTATCTAAATTGTGTCATTGGGGGCGTAAAAACACCCTTATGAAAAAGAAGAAAAGGGAAGTTACTTTTTCTGCCACGGAGATTAAACTTGGCCTTCTTTTACTGATTTGTTTTCGTTTCTTTCGTGGTAGAGTCTTATCTTTCGGTTAAGAAAAAAAAATGCGTCTTGTCATTAGTTTGTTTATGCCTTTCCAGCAATTTTTAAAAAATGTCATGCAACTTAAAGTGACTCTCACTTACATTTTGAGGATGTCATCACATTTTACTAAGTACTCAAGTATTTAAGTATGCACAGCTATATCTTTTTTTTCTTCAAGATCATGGCCTCCCTCGACAAAACTCCCAACCCCTAAAAAAGAAGGGAGGGAAATAAAAAATCAAAATAATAGTGAAGAAATGAGAAAATGCATATAGTTATATACATTTTTAAAACCCTGAGCTTGAGCTCTCCTGTAATTTTTGTAGGGCCTATCAGCAAAGTTAATTAGCATAGATAAGAAACGATCAAAACGACTGAAAACAAAAGAAACGGGGAGGAAACCCATCAAGGATAAGAGAACATAATGCTCACATCATAAACAATACCACAAATTTGGGATATCACAAACACTGACTTGCTTGCACTCATACCCCCCCCCTCCCAACTCACCCATCTTCCAATAATAATAATAATAATAATAATAATAATAATAATAATAATAATAATAATAATAATAATAATAATAATAATAACAATAATAATAATAATAATAATACGGTAATAATTCAAAATACATTTAGGGACTACTACTACTACTACTACTACTACTACTACTACTACTACTACTACTACTACTACTACTACTACTACTACTACTACTAATTATAATAATAATAATATTATTAATCATAATCATAATAATCATGATAATGATAACAATAATAATAATAATAATAATTAATAATAATAATAATAATAATAATAATAATGATGATGGTACCTCGAAATGTGAATGAGAATGGGATTATGCTCACCCTACTGTCTGAGTAAATACCAAATTCTGCAGTGACCCGAACACTGCGCTGTCTTCGGGAAATCTAACAGGTGTGTAAAAGGCTGCGTTATATAACTGTGGAACGGTGCTCGGTCATTTCCAAGGCAACAGTAATGCTCCCAGGTCTACTATAATGTTACATATTTAAAGATCAACGGTTGTTTAGCGGCAGAGGATAATGAAAGTTTATAGATAAGAAATGTTGCACACGACTTAGCTTCCTCTTTTCTTTTCCTTATCCTGCTATTCTTATAAGGAACGTATGCGAGTAAATCACGTGTATATGGGTCAGTCCACAGTTCTGGCTATATTGTTCTCATATTTGCTCTAACCTAATTCGTGAGTTAAAATTAAAAATTAGTGATCCTCCTGTTTAGTATATTATCATCATCATCTGGAACACAGAAGTGACGTCGGTAGCCTAGTGGTTAGGCTACCGGACTCGTAATCGTGAGATTGCGAGTTCGGGGGTTCGAGCCTCAGCTCGGTCCGACGTTGTGTCCTTGGGAAAGGCACTTTACACGAACTTCCCACTTGGCTCGGCCCTATTGGAGACGGGTGTTAAACTAGGAGGTCCCGCCCCTTAAATAACCTAATAGTGTTGATAGGGGCGTTAAACCTATACCATTTCACCATTATAGAACACAGAGAAGCTCCTATCAGCCTTAAAGAAAAACAGGATACGCCATTTTAGTTTTAGTAAACATTCTCGGAGATCAAGGGGGAACTGATGAAAAATGTCCTATAGGAGCCAGTTATCGAATCTTTCAGGAGGAACAAAAAACTGTTTAATGTAGATATGTATGAATGATCAACACTCCGGAAACGATCAAGCTCTAAAATCGTATCATAATATGATACGCGATTTAGGAATTCTTTGCTTTATTATCGGTTCCGTAGTAATTCTTGTTGAGTCATTCAAGTTGTTAAAATATTGAAATCCATTCAGCACATCTCAAGATGAGCTTATTTGGAAGCAAACAGTTACGATAAGTGAAACAGTTATTTGCTTTTTTAAGCGATTTTAAGGCGGGGAACTCAATGAATCGCGCTTTCGAATGGGGGGAAAAAACATTTCGCGCTAAAATCATGATACGCGGATCTGGCTTATAGGATGATTGCTTCCTATTGTGCGACATTAATTTATAACTATTTTTCTTTGGTTAGTTGTGACTTCTAAAACTGGAAAAATTGTGCTGAATATGCACATCACGGGATTCTTTCTTAAATGCTTGACTATTGCTGATAAGAGTTATTAAAAGTCTGTCTGTTTTTCTTCAGAATTTTACCGATATAATTTGTTCACGGTTGTTAAATAGGCAGACAAGAGGGTTAGTAACAGCGTGTAAATAGATTATGGCATTTTTAGGTATAGTATGTCAAAGCTGGCCATGTAAAAATGTGACACTCTCTGTTTTAAATTTCCTGAATTTCGTCAACTGGGCTATCTGTGTTCTAAATGTTTGCATTGACATACATACCCAGACGTCGGGCAACTTCGGAGAAGGGGTACAGTGTAGTAAATACAGAGAGTTAACTTTTTAAAAATATTTGATCAAACCTAAATATGATGGATAACACATTGTATAAAACCACCAAAAAATGTTATAGTGAAGGCTCCTGCTAATAATGCATCCCAACCACCCCCCACCCCTACCCCGCCCCCAAAAAGGAAATAAAACCCACCAGCAACAACAAACAAAAAAACCCAACCCATTTACATGGATCACATGGATGTTTAATAGCAAAAGTAGTATGCAGGTGTCAGGAAAATCTGATTTTGTCGAAACAGGGGGAAAAGTGTGAGCCTCCCCCCCCCCCTCTCCCCCAATAACATTTACGGTATGCCATGGCTCCTTAGGGTCGAGAAATTGGGTATGTTCATCAATACAACAGCATGATTAAGTCGATACTACTCACTTAGCTTCCTTGTTGCCTTAGTTTTCTTTTCTCAAAGACGGCACTTTTACATTATACGACTTGAAATAGGATTCAACAGATCTAGTCCTTGTCACAGCTTCCTTAAGAATGAGATTTTACTCCCAGCTGGATTAAAACATGTTTTGTACTCGTTTCCAATTTCTTTCGGGCAATTCTGCGGTAACTGACGGGACATTTGGACTATATTTTCTTACAATGATAACACTGTAATTCAATATCAATTAATTTATTTTAACTGTAAATGATTAGAACATTTGAAAGACATATTAAGAAATCATATTAAATGGAGTCGTTTAAAAAGCAGTATTTTATGCACATTTTGTGACGTAATGTTTAGTTTCAGTAACCCTCCTTTTTCATGTCAGTTACGGAAACTAAACACGTCCCATGATTGCAATCTGCAAGCGATCAAACAATTTTTTAAAAGAATATTGATCCTGTAATAAAGAAGTCTCTTCACGTAGGCCATTTGGGTACATACACAGGATCACTACAATAAATGAATTATAACAACCTAGCCTATAAATTGATCATTTTGATACAATAAAAGATTATAATATCATCTTCCTGCATCAGTAAAAGGAGAGTGTAACCAAAATAACGTAAGAAAGGGGAGTTCATTTTACAAATACAAAAGTGCCTTTTTTAAATTAACAATCTCAGTCATTCACTTTGTCTCCATTCTCTGTCTATCGTTCACTTGTATTACACGATGAAGTTTCCCACAAGCAGCGGTCAGTAGGTGTGGCATTGTGAATGCGTGTATGTTACAGGATAAATTAAAAAACAACAACATAGCAACGAAAAAAAACTTTTTAAAAACTGAATAAAGGGCTTAGTGTGAACTCAACGTTTCACAAGCTCTGAAGTCTTCTTATAGGCGTTAGGAGGAACCCGCTGGTTCTGGTTCTTTCCCTCACCGGCATGGACGCTCAGCATCCCAATATGGACTCACGCAGCCCCATTTCGACAACGTGACTGACGTCACAGCCGCAAACTCTAGTACTCTTTATATCCTCTGTGGGCCATTTGATCCTTTATTCATATGTGGTCTCCACTGAGAAGCCAAAATAATAATGAATAATAATGGATTGCATTTATATAGCGCATATCCACTTATGCAATGCTCTATGCGCTTAACATGATACATATTATGGATTTACAAATCAATTTTAAAGGTACATAGTGTTACATACTCATGCAAACACATATTCACTCACGCACGCACCACACACACATACATACTCACATATACACATACGTACATATGCACAAACGCACATACAAACTCACAACGATCTACAGCTTGGATGAATTCTGTCTAATCGAAATATGATGAAAATAGAAATGATTTTAGTTTCTTCTTAAAAATTTCTAGATTTTCTGCTTCTCTGATAGTTTTTGGAAGCCTATTCCAAACAAGTGGGGCAAAATATGAAAAAGAGAGTTGGCCATATGATTTGTAATTTATTTTAGGCTTAACAAGGGTTGTTTTGTCACTTGATGATCTGAGCGTTCTAGGAGGCACATAGGGTGTTAAAAACTGTTTTAGATAGTCCGGTGATAAATCATTTAAGCACTTATAGCAAGTTAAACACATTTTATATATGATACGCTCTTTCACTGGGAGCCAGTGTAATGCTTTTAAAATAGGAGTCACATGATCATGCTTTAGTTTTTTAGTAATTATTTTGGCAGCAATATTTTGTACTCTTTGTAGTTGTTGTAACTGTTCATCAGGTACACCAGCCAGTAAGGAATTGCAATAATCAATCCTTGACAATATAAGTGATGTTATTAAAGTTTTGGTGACACCAACAGATATATATTTTCTAATGCTCCCTATTTTCTTCAGCTGGAGATATAGATTTTTACAAAGATTGGATACATGGTATTTCATTGACATATCTTGATCTAGCACCACACCTAAATTTCTTATTTTAGTTTGGGCTGATATTTCGTGGCCATTGATGTTTAATCTGATATTGTCGATTTCATTGCATGCGCTGCCTCGAAGAAATAATATTTCGGTCTTATCCTCATTTAATTTTAATTTGTACTTGAACATCCATTTTCTTATATCATTGATACATCAAAAAGCTTCATAATTTCCACAAAAAATGCTTCAGAAGAATTCTTGGCATCAAATGGCAGGATAAAATACCAGACAACGATGTTCTCAAAAAAGGGATGATGCCGAGAGGACTCAACTTCGCTGGGCTGGCCTTGTCACAAGAATGCCTGATTTTGGAAACCCAAGAGCAGTAATATATTCTGAACTGTCTTCAGGGAACGTAAGGTTGGTGCATCCAAAAACTGTTACAAAGATACCCTGAAAATGTTCCTGTAGTACCTTAACATAAATATTTCGATATGGGAGAGCCTTATAGCTCCTGCCAGTCATAGCGGGCAGCCAATCATGAGAAGCTTCACGAATTTAGAATACTGAAACCAATAGAGAAGCCCGCAAGCTGCACACATGCACAAGTGGAAGTGGAGCTTTTAAATGTTCAAATTGTAGCATACTTTTCCCTGCCAGATTTGGTATCATCAGCCACAGCAGAGGCCACAGGTCATTTTTAGCTTGAGTTCTTCCAACATTTCTTTTTATTTTCGCTTGAGATTATTCTCCTCTGCGGATGTATTGCTCATCTTCAGACACTGACGGACGAGCTATTGTTATGTGACTTTGGACTCCTTGTTTTTCTAACTCCTTCAATTGTTTTTTTCCCTCTGTGTGTGTGTGTGTGTGTGTGTGTGTGTGTGTGTGTGTGTGTGTGTGTGTGTGTGTGTGTGTGTGTGTGTGTGTTAAAGTAGATCTTGATAAAGATCAGATAATGGTCCGAAATTGTTTTGTCGATGACATTCACCGAAAAGATGTCAGGGTCTAAAGATGTGTGGTGGCACGACCTAGTCAGCTGGAATGTTTCGCTTCATCTGTAGGCACGTTAATCATTTAACCCGTTATTGTTTAGTACATGCAGATCTTTGTTATTTCGGCTTTCCGTAAAAGGATCGGGCTCTCAGTTTGCTCAGTTGATATCATGCTGGACTATAGAGAGGTTAGCTGTGGTTCAAGTCCCAGATAGGGCATCCCTGAACTTAATTTTTGTGTGTGAATTTTTTGGGGTTCTTAACTCATTTGTCTCGGTCCAGTCGGAGACGGATGGTAAATTTGGAGTTCA